TGGTAGTCATTGGGTTGTTGAGACCAGAAAGACGAGCGATCTTGTAGAGCTTAGCCGCATTAACAGTGGATGGACCAAGAGACCCCTGAAAAAAAAAAACCAATATCGTGCCACATATTTACTTATCCGAGTAGTGTAACGAAGCTAAAAGCATCCAGAGCATTAGTCAAATGTCCTGGGTTATTATTATAATTGTTGTTGAATGTGAAGAGAAGAGGATCGAAATGCACCCATCAGAGATTGACAATTTGAAGCGCATGTTTCCTGAGAGGTCATCTGAATTTGTTGAATCTTTGATCTTATTTTGTGATTGGTTTATTGTTTAGGGCGAAATGGATGATTAGGGACGAGTTTAACATGAGATCAGGCTCAATTTTCCTTTCGCTTTGTAAATAATATTCCGGCGGGCAAGGCGACACGAAACGACAGCCTGTCAAAAACCTTCTACGAAATGTCTACCGCCCACTTTTTTGATTGATTGACATTTGCCGAATCAGCTAACCAAAATTACTTCCGTTGCTTGTTTTTTTAGTACCCAAATTTTCTCGCTGACTTAAAAAGTAGCTTTAATCTTTTTATTTTTTTTAACTAAAAATAAAACAGTCATCAGCACAATCACATTTCACTTCTTGCGATATTAAAGAAGATGTCGAAGGTTATTTCTGTTGGCGTATAAGGTAAAAAGTTTTCGAAAAGACGGCGACACCAGACGTTCTAGTTGTAATATTTTGGCTAGGCGCATTCGAAATTTCTTTTTTCCTGGTGCCTTTATATTTTCCTCGGCAATTTTCCCAGATTTTCAGTACATAAATCTTTAAAAATCTTGCAGAAATATATCGCAAACTTTTTCAAAGGATATACATAAATTATCTCAGAACAAACCAAACGCGTTTTCAAGTGCCTTAATTTAGTCCCGTGAGTACACTTGTAATTTGCGAATTTACAAGAGAAACAAACGTCTAAATTTGATAAATCCATGTAAATATTATCACTTTGGAAAGACGAAACGACACTACTTAAACTACATGCTCAACTAACCTATAAACAAAACGAAAAACAATATTCCAAACACACTTTCTAGTTCTCCTTTAATTAGTTGGGTTGTTCTTTTACTGCAGGTCTGAAAAGCTCGCTAAATTCATGCATCGAAATTAACAAACAGCAAACAGCCAACGGGAGAGGACACCAGTTTCCCTGGTTTATTTTTTACAAAAAACGAAGGCAAACAACAAGTCTGTTACCCTAAGACTAGCGCCACTAGCTTTTATGATAATGCCTACCAAAACTCCTTGAACAGCGAATTGCGATATTTTTCGTCTAATACTTCACAGTTGGCGATTGAGGCAGTGTCGGATCCAGATCTTGAGATAAGGGGGGGGGGCGGGGAAGGCGGTAATTTTTTTCGGCCCTTCAGGCCTCAGTTTGGTCCAAAAATAAGGGGGGGCCTCCCCTGGATCCGCAACTGTGAGGTTTCTTTCGCAGGGAGCCTCCGCTAGCGTACTCCGTTCAAGTCATTCCCGGTTAAACTTTTAAATGAAACAAGTTTTAAGATGGACAGTATTTTGATTTCCACTCGTTTTTTTGTATCCAAAGGCACCTTCTTCGCGGTCAGCAACTTGCAGAGGGATTCAACTCCGCGACATACTTACATTAGTTCCGTAAATAGAGCAAATCCTGAGAAGATAATAACAACCATCTGAGTTTTCTGAATTTCCATGGCACATATATATATATGTTATTCACCGGCTGGGAGGTCAGTATTGGGAGAAGCTTTGCCCGAGGTCTTGAGTACCGCCCGAGACCGTAGGCCAATACGGACCGACCTAGGCCGGTGAATAACATTTTTAATTTTTTTTCCTTAAGTTTCGGGAAAAGTTTCCTTCACTCTCCAACCTATTTGTGTTGAAGTAGGACGCGTTCATGTTGATGAAGGGCGCGATCGATTGCAAACCAAAACAAAACATTTCAACGTGATTCTTAGCTCGGTAATTTTATGTTATGTAACTTACTGCTCTCTTTTAGAATAAAGAAAGGTTTTTGTGTCTTGAAATACAATTCATAATCTGAGTCAAACAAGGACAAAAGAACTGACGAGCTTGATATTAAAAGCCCCAGAAAAAAATAAATCAAGGATTTTCTTGTGCTGAATAATTCAAAAGTTAGTAGTATACTATGTTGGAAATTAAGCCTCGTTGGTGCGTTCCCTTGCGTTCCATGTGCGTTCCCTTCATTAATATGCATAAGGGTCGAGTATAGGCCGTCACCCATTGTTATAACCTAAGGAAAAAATGCGTTCCTCCATCTAATTATGTGCCTTCCTCCATATATAATGAAGTGGATAGTCGTTTCTTGAAAGAACTTTTCTCTTATCTGTCTCGAGGAAATGAAAAACTACTGAAGTCTCAGCGTTTCACGCGCCGTTAGTCAGGTAATTATGCGAGTTCACAAGCCCACCGTTGCATGCAAATTAGCTGTGCAGTAAAAACCCTAAGGGAGCGTCTTGACTTTTTTTTATAAAAACACACAAAAAAACGATTAATAACTTAACAAGGATCAATTAAAACACGCGCCTAATAATTGCTAGCAATAAAACCGGACACGTTTCTTAAGACACAAGAAATCAACTTGACGACCCTTTATTAAAATAATTTCAAAAAGATTAGATGAAAGATTCTATTAAAATAGTCAAAGAAGGCAAGCCATCCTTTTTTTACTTACCCCTCTGCCTTTTCAATTTCATATATAGGAAGCTGTTTCTCGTGTTGCTAGGTGATCGCTCCTCTTATTCCTATTTTCCTTTTAATAGATGGTCCGCAAACCGGCGGGCTCAAGTTACCTCACGGGCAAGTCGAGGCAAGTCAATTGTGCCTATTGTGTTCTTTCAAGAAACGAATATCCACTTCATTATATATGGAGGAAGGCACATAATTAGATGGAGGAACGCATTTTTTCCCTAGGTTATAACAATGGGTGATGTCATGGACTCGACCGTCATGCATATTAATAAAGGGAACGCACACGGAACGGAAGGGAACGCACCAACGAGGCTTAATTTCCAACAAAGTATACTACTAAAGTTGCTTTAAGATTAATTAGTTCAATCGAGCGGGATGAAAACTGTACAAAGGAGCGAATTACACACACCAATTTCAAGGTTTTGAATTGAATTCGAATAAAAGAAGACGATGTGAGTAACAAGTTATAAACAAAGAAATGAAGACGGCGATAACCGATTGCTGGAAAAGTGATTCGTGTTGTTTATTTAAACTTAAGCTTAAGATTGAAAGCTAAATGCAATCATTGACAACAACATTTTCTGATAAGCAGAAAACTAGCAGTCAAAGTTCAATGAAAAACGGCAGAATCTAGACTAAAACAGTCAAAATGGAAAACAAAATTACAAACAAAGCAAAAATGTCGAATAAACGGTGGATAAAAGCAAGATTGCAACACTTACAGCGCGGTTATAAACCTCGTGAAGGGACATCACGAGCCACCTGTTTTGCTTTACTTTAACGGTTTTTATGGCTGACTTGCTTGATTCTATATGGTATAATTGTCCATTTTAACGGATTTTTACCCTAAAAAGGTCACCTAAAATTTTCGGGAGCCTTTTTTCTGGCTGAAATTTTTGAAAAGATAAGTTTTGATCTCTATAATTTTTGGATCACCAGACTTTCAGCTGTTTCTCGTGTTGCTAGGTGATCGCTCCTCTTATTCCTATTTTCCTTTCAATAGATGGTCCGTAAACCGGCGGGCTCAAGTTACTTCCAGGCAAGTCGAGGCAAGAGGCAGGTACAAAAGTCGGACCGGATCAACTCGGACCGCCAGTCCGGGTCGGATCAACTCGGATCAACTCGGATCGACTCGGACCAACTCGGATCGAATAAAAAAATAAAAATAAAATAAAATTGGACTCGGATCAACTCGGAGCAATCCAAAAAATTAAATTAAATCAGCAAAACTGAAAGTTTAACCCATTAGGAGGGTAAAAAAGGCCAGATCATCCTTTTTTTCTCGGTGGCTTTCAGGCGCCATTTTGTTTTACTAGTGCCAGTTCCTCTCGAATCATGTTATAAACTCGTGGTTGTGGTTGCGTTACACGACGCGCTCTGCTATATGTGCTTATATATTAGACTACTGAATTATTTATGAGAAAAGCATCAAAAGCCTGGTCTGTTGATCGCATTTAGATAGTTACCGAAGAGTGTTTGTTTGTTTGTTCCTGTTTGTTTTTTTTCTGCAGGACTTCTGAAACTTTTTTTTAATGATACACTAGTGTGCAGCACACATACATTTCCAGTGAACATTTTCAACTTGGAAGGAGGAGAAACTATGCTCGCCCGGGACAAAGGAAATTTCCATGCCCACGGCAAGAATCGAACTCGCGACCCTCCGGTTCAGTGGCCGGAACGTCCGATAAACATTGTGGTATTCGGATGGTCGTGAGTTCAATTCTCGCCCGGGGTACGAAAATTTTCGTTGTCCCGGGCGAGTATGATTTCTCCTCCTTCCAAGTCGAAAATGTTCACTGGAAGTGTATGTGTGCTACTCACTTGTGTATCATTAAAATTAATAAAAATAATAATAAAATTAATTTACACAACCACGAGTTCGTGAGAAAAAAACAAAATGGCGGGTGAAAGTTAAGTGATACCGACTGATTTTATTTTTCTTTTTATAATCCGAGTTGTTATTTTTTATGATCCGAGTTGATCCGAGTCCAATTTTATTTTTTTTATTTTTTTATTCGATCCGAGTTGGTCCGAGTCGATCCGAATTGATCCGACCCGGACTGGCGGTCCGAGTTGATCCGGTCCGACTTTTGTACCTTTTGTACACAATAGGCACAATAGGCTTGCCTCGCCTATTATGGCTATTGTGTTCTTTCAAGAAACGAATATTCCACTTCATTATATATGGAGGAAGGCACATAATTAGATGGAGGAACGCATGTTTTCCCTAGGTTATAACAATGGGTGATGTCATGGACTCGACCG